GCGAAAGTGTCTAATAATCCAGAACGCTGGGGTCTCTAAATAAATATGGAAAATTGAGAGGAATTGAAATAAATCGACAACCACCTAATCCGCTGCATTGATTTATAAATTTGTAGATTTAAGTTAACATTCTTAAACAAATGTACACGGGTAAAATGGATATTTGTTTCTCAAACAAGCTGGAAAACGTTGTCTACACTTTAACCAAAATTATAATTTTAAAAACAGATACAATCTCAATATTTCGGTGTACGATTGTGGGTAATTATTTTTATTGCCCGTGTACATATATTTGTCTTTCTTTGGCTAGTAAATTTCTTTTGCCAGATAACTTCAGAAGTCATTTAATAAATAAGTTTTCGGCCGATTTAAAATGATTTATTTTGACGTAACTCTGAGTCACTCTAGGACCCCAGCGAGATTAAGACACATAAAAGCCGATCCGAAAACTTCTGTCGATTGGTTTGAGTGTTGGCTCATTTCAGGCTTGATCCTTGCCGACGGTGGGTGAACTTCAAAAAATGGTGCCTTGTGTTTCACAAATGAGACAAACTAATTGTATTAACCTGCCAGTATAGCTACTAATTGAGTCTGATAGTCATCTTGTAGATTCCATATTGATCGCTTAAAAATCCAGCCTGAGCAGACAGCTGTATGTATCAGAATTGTCGCAGGCTGAACCTTCCCAATCTTCATCATCAGAGCACTGCAATTGTTGCTGCTCTTGATCATGAGTTAATGAGTTTCGCCGCCAGCCCTTCATTAGGGCTGCGCTAAACGCACGGAATCTTAATTACCCGTTTGCGACGGACAAACGTTTACCTCCCAAATGGTTACACAAAGGTAAGCTTGCGTGTCCATTGTTCTCTTTACTGCCGACTTGGTTGTGGCCAGCAGAGTTTGTCCTTCGTCCTCCCCCGTGCCCACGTTATTCGTCGGACTGATAAGTGTTCGCTGTTGGTTCTATAACCTTGCACGTATGTCGAGACTGACAGGTGCTCGAATGGTGGTCAACGGAAATATATACCGCATCCCGCCCAACATGCGTTGCGCACAAAACCAAGGCCAGTTCGAATAGGACCAGACAGGCAGGCATGGAGCCGAGAATCGTTTTCTAAGGAGAAGTGGGAAAATGAATGGAAATGGATGAATTCGATCCATGCGCCTGTTACCAAGAGCGCATAATTTGGCGATTCATTTCACAACGTTCATTGAGATTATGCGTTCGGTTATATGAGGCTTAAGTTGCGAACTTTAAAATAATAGCAAGCGAGAGATTTGAGCGAGGAATTCAAGGTTTTCGACAAGGAGATCAAAATCGTGCTTGGTTGGCAAAGGCCACGATAAAAGTCTTTCTAAAGGTCTTCCTTCGCTGTTGTTTATACGTAACTAAGATGCATAAAATCTCAGAAGAATTTTCAAAGAGGAACAGGCAAAACGAACACTGATATTGATCGTAATTTATTGTTTGACATTAATTGCATAATTTTTTATTGTCAAAGTTTGCACCAAGAATTCAATTTGCAAATTAGAGGTTCCTTAGAAATCGATGTTATACTGTTTTACACGCAGTACCAGTGTCTCGATTGTTCTGTTATTCTCAAACGGAGGAACGGGATGGCTTACTGGTTTACATATGTTGACGCAAACAGGAAATAAGAATGCCATAAATGTATTTCCCATACTTAACTTGATACGTTTAAATTTAAAAAAGGCCACGATTGTGGCCAAACAAGTAAGTTCTTTGACTATTAACTATGTAAGGTCGAACGCATCTATTTTCACATTTACTATCCCCAGACCGGATCTACCAAAATAATTAATCGTTATTTATATGCTTTAGAAGCTGTCTACAATTTATTTTATCATTTCCATCCTCAAATAGTTTTGTCTTTTATTCGGCGGCAATTTTTTTCACAGGTGCACTTAAACGTCACCTAATCTTCCCGCTCTTTGTTTCGCACAAGACCAGAAAATATGATACGCACTCGGATTTTCTACTATCGAACAAGTGATGTAGGAATAAAGCATGTAAATGACACATTAATAGACCAGTTTGCTTGTGTAAATACTTTTCCTACGAAATTGTGTCTATGCGGTTTCCACAAATTTTATTCGTTTCCCATGGTATTTTCTTAGGTTACTATAAAACGATTACAAGCGGCCGATTCGGCAGGTAATCCTAGATTTCAAAGAATATATTCTTATGGCAAGTCAAAAGTTGTGCTCGATCAAATAATTTCTTCGGCATTTAAGCAATTTATTTTTAGAACACTGACGTCAGTATACCCAATACGAATTAACTTAATCGTTGGAAGCAGCCACTAACTAGTTAAATTGGCAAACATCATCCTTCGCCTTATTAGCATCGAGACTAATGTTATGAAAACTGGATCAATTTTGTTATCTGATTTTTTCCAATACGCCTATTACCTGGTATACGCTGAGCCTAGTTTATGGAAATCTAGCCTGGAATTTGTTGTCTACGTTATTAAACGTTCAACCCACAGGTCACGAATACATGTCCTAAGGGGATACATGTGGTTGTGTGTGGGTGGCTTATGATGTAAATATGCCAGAAATGGCCTTTCCGGTCTGAAGGCAAAAAAAGACGGCATGATTCATTGCTTTCATTCCATTAGTCACTGCGAATGCTCCTAAGAGCACCCTGCCGTCCATAGCGCAAGTTATCATGCCATCAGGTAACTGACGCGCCGTGTGCACGAGTCGTCCAGTACAAACGATTTTTACACAATTTATTCAGTTAACCGTATATAATGGTTTCTTCAGGTCAAAGATGAGAATATGGAGTTTGGTATGAACTTGTTTATATTGTCTTGAAGTTGCTATTATGTTGTTCTGCGGCGTCGGCGGAAACCATCCTGACATTTTTCAGGCAGTCTGGGTTCTTATGTTAATTGGGACGCTTCTACAACGATCTTGCTGGCAATTTTGCATATAAAGATATCTTTGTGTCTGCATCCCGGTGTTATCCATCGGGATTTCGGTAAGATCGTTCCAATTGCTTCTGGCAAAGGAATCGAGGGGTACAGCTTATTGATCGCTCGCAGCAGGTGTAACCGATGGATGGTGGCATAGGAGATAGTGGATTGATGGTTACAGCCGATACTGATGATTTCAGTCCAGAGCTTCGGGATCTCAGATTTCTCCGTCGGTATGCGAGCAAAGGTCATTCCAGCATTGCTGAGCCACGAGATTTCTTCGTGACCTTATTTAACTGCCGGCCATCTTGCCGTTCTTCATGATGGACAATTATCTATTGGATTACCTTGAAACGGACACGAATACACGAATACACTTACCTGTCAAGCTGCGCCCGATCTAATTACAAGGACACTGCTAAGATCGGATACCTCCGCGTTATAGCATGCCGGTTTTCTTGTGAAATATACGCGCCCCGTTGATGCCACGAAATAACTATTAGGTTTTATTTCACAAGTGAACACCAATGGACATTGATCATCACGCACGTTCTTTGCGTTTTGCTGTAGGTTTTTTGTACTGCAGATGATATATCAATAAATATTAATTTTAATTACACTTTAGAATTGCAGGTCAATTGAGTACTTACCTGATAGTTTGTGTTAGAACTCCGCATTGCACTATATGCTTTCTCACTGCTAAATACGATTTTCGAAATATTTTGACGCTTCCGGTATTTACGCTTAACCCATTTACTAAAATTATGCGTGTTGTTAAGCGGAGAAAAATGATAAACACTGACAAAAGAATGTCAGTAGTAGCCACCGTATTGCAAAATATATATCAGGAAATATATCGAACTTTAAAAACTGAGGTTGACTTTTGAAATGGGCGTGGGGTTAGCAGTCATGCAAAAATTTCCACGTTGATTGAATATTTGGAACTTACCTGCTTTTACACTACTAATTTAAAGTCTGAGAATAAAGTTTTTTTGGGAATCCGCTTCTAATCGTTAATCTCTTTACTTGACACATGAGCACGCAGACGGGCTACAGAACCTGGCAATTGGCATTTTACAGGAAAAACTCCCTCGCGCGTTTTGAGGGAGTCAGAAAACTTGTTAAATGTCGGAAATCGTTTTAAATCATGTACGTCATGCTGCTGAATTTGAAAGTGCAGGTCAAATGGCAGAATGGCGTTCACCGATCATTTTTCAGGAATTCAGCCGTTCCGATTTGTATTACGTCGTTCTCACTTGAGTCAAATCAGTGGCCGCACAGCGGCGCATGATATACGCTCGATGGAGTTATTAAGAAAGCCAGCCTTTATCCTTCGCCGCTGGGCAGCTGTTGGCTGGGCTCTAGATAGAACCCCTAAGTCACAACGGGACAAGTAATTTCCGTCGAAACGATCGGTGAGCGCCCTTCCACCACTAATATATCCGATCGCAACAGACAGGGTAAGGAGTCCCTGGCTACGCGGATGGAGACGTTGACCTTCTCGCAAACAGGTCGCGGGATCGAGCCACAGGTATTAAACACTGTGGTTGGATATGACTGGCCATCGACGGCTAGTAAGCGATTAATGACCATCCAGTCTCCCTTGCTTTTGTCGGTAATATTATTTAGTCTGTGCCAATTCTCGCATTGACAGGCGTTAAGCCAGCCATCGTCAAAATGGAAAAATAAGTCGATGCATTTAAACGCCTTTCTAACTATCGATTTTTCAACGACAGGCGCCATCCAATTGCAAAATTAGGTTTGGCAGGCCTTAAAGTCTCAAAGTTGGCGCACATGAATGCAGATTGTGATTAAATGTAAGCACAATTGTCATCCAATCAGAAGTTACCAAGCATTGTCGGATACGTGTACGTGGTAGTATTAAAAAAGGGCAAACCGCTTTTGTGTTGATTTTAAAAGCACGTGAGCGATTTAACAAAGTTACTGACACATTTCATTTAAGGACTTTGCTTAATTCTTGGAGACAACTGCTGACGGATGAGAAGTCTTACATTGTTTCCAGTCTTGTTTTGTTTCACCAAATCAATTTTGGCGTGCATGCCGTCGAGAGTGAGTCAGCTGTAAACATTAAATCACTGTTGTTATTTTTCTATTCTCTCGTATCTCCAGTTCGTTCAATTTCTGTAGCGTCGTTAATGATTTTTAGATGCAGTTATTTACCTTACGTTTTCCTTGTTTATTAAATACACATCTGTGACGACGAGACACGTTGAAAACCTTAGTGGAATATTAATGTATGCTTTATTTTACTGGCTGTTTTTTTACCCTTCTAATTGAAGCAAACACTGTGGAACGACATGCGTGGAAATATGCGCTTAAATGCAAATGACAAATTTCCGCCACTAAAATAGATTTCTGTAGGTTTTGGCATCTTATCTGCGTTGAAACATGGGAAACATGTTAGGATTGGTATCACTGTTAGCTTCAAAATTTCATCTTTGAAATTGCTTCGCGGACATACATTCAATCAGTTCGCAGAGAGCCACAGTGACATGTTTTAGGTGTGCGTATATTTTTGTACTACCTTAGGCAATCCAAAATTGAGCAATAAATTGTCGTACGTCCTTGCTCGATTGTATGGCACATTTGACTTAATTTTTCAAAATCTTTTTCGAACAGGAAATCGTAAAGAGGCATGAATTCCTCCGGTGTAGTTTTGCCCTTCTGAAGAAGCAATTCGAATCATTTCTGTTTGACGAGCACGGGGCCTCTCTGACCATTGAGCTCGGACGCCTTCAACGACTAACTGGTTGTCATGTGATTTACAATGCGGATATACTGAGATTTGACTGTCGAAATATGCGTCTTGCGGTCAATGTGTACATGCAAAAGGTACGTTGTGATCTCAGAGGTCTATCAAATGGTAATATCGCATTAACGAATTTTGCGGCACGATTAAATTAACTTTCGTTTGCATAGGTCAGTTTCCCGCATTTGTCGCGCGGTCATAAACATAAACTCGGACAAGCGGCGGTGAGCTTTGATGTTTCTG